TGCCTTTTGGTATGCAAAAAATATTTTATTAAGTCATATCTATCCATCTTCCTTTTATTGTCTCTGACAGTATTTTAGAACTTTCATAGATTTATATTTTACATTTATATCTCTAACTCCTTTGGAGTTTATTCTTGTGCATAGTGTGAAGTATGAATCTAACTTTATCTTTATCAAAATGGCTATCCATTTGTCCCAGCACCATTTATTAAAAAGCATATCTTGACTCCAGTGATTTGAGACACCACCTTTATCATATAGTAAATCGCCAAATGTATTTGAGTCTGTCTCTGCTTTCTCTGTTCTATCCCAATGGTTTCTCATTATATTCATGTGCCAGTACCACACTATTTTCATTATAGAGACTTATAGTATTTTTAATATCTGTTAGAGAAAAATATGAACTTTATGCCAATAAATTTGACAACTAGATGAAACTGAAAAGTTCCTTGAAAGATACAAACTACCAAAGTTAAATCAAGAAGAAATAATCTGTTTAGACCTCCATCAAATAAAGAAACTACATTTATAGTTGAAAACATTTCTACAAAGAAAACTTCAGGTCCAGATGGTTTCACTGATACACTCTAATAAGTATTTAAAGGAAGAAGTTAGTTCAATCCTACACAAACTCTTCCAGGAAATGAAAGAAGAGAGAATATTTCCTAAATCATTTATGAGGTCAGCATTACCCCAATATCAAAAACAAAGACATTATAAGAAAATAGAACTATACACCATATCCTTCATGAACATTGATGTAAATGTTCTTAATAAATTTAGCCATCAAATACAATATTGGGCCCAGTGGCTCACGCCAGTAATCCCAGCACTTTGGGAGGTTAAGATGAGAGAATCACTTGAGGCCAGGAGTTCGAGACCAGCCAGAGCAACACAGCAAGACTGTCTCTACAAAAACAACAACAAAAAAACTCAACCCATTAATATATAAAAAATATGTCACAACTGAGTGGAGTTTATTCCACGAAGGCAATCTGGTTCAATATTCCAAAATTGACCAGTGTAATTCACCATATCATTCAATTAAACAAGAAAAACTACGCAATCATCTCAATAGACACAGAAAAAGCATTTGACAAAATTCAACATCTATTCATGGTAAAAAGTTATCAGCAAACCTAGGAATAGAAGAGAACTTCCTCAATCTAATGGAGAGCCTATATAAAACCTATAGCCAACATCATACTTAATGGTGACAAAAAGAATGTTCTTTGTGAATAAGATTCTTACCACTTCCATTCAACAACATATTGGAGGTCCTAGGAAGTACAATTAGTTTTTTTTTAAAAAAGTAAAAGACATACAAATTAGAAATGAAGAAATGAAATGATCTCTATTCACATGTGACATAACTATCTACGTTTTATTTCTGTTTGTTTATAGGTTGTACTCTGGATGTTTTAGGTGCTATGTCATCACCTTGCACAACTCCCCAGGCATCATTTATATTACAGTCATTGTATTCTACATGATACTCCTGGTACTTTGCAATAGTGGAATTACAATTTGAAAAATGGTTGCCCAACAGGCAACGCAATCTTGAGCTGGACTAACAGAAACATAAGATCCAGATGAAGAGATATTATCTTCCAGATATTTCACTTGGCCCTATTCACACCATACCTAGAATATTCTATATAGTGCTGAACTCTATACTTCCAAGAGGGACACCAAATTTTATCAGAAGACCAAGGCAATTACTGCAAAGGAACACTAAATATCTCACATAAAAAAGAGTTGAAGCAGCTGGAAATATTTAACCTTCATAAGAAATGACCTGGGTATTAACGGATCAACACCTAAGTGGACATACAGGAGTAACATTTGTTGGGTGTCGGGAGGGTGAGAGGGGGGAGGAAGGGATGGGTGTATACAACCACAACGAGTAAGATGTGCAACGTTTGGGGGATGGACATGCTTGAAGCTCTTACTCGAGGGGGGAGGGGGACATGGGCAATATAAGTAACCTTAACACTTGTACCCCCATAATACGCTAAAATAAATAAATAAATAAATAAGAAAAAAAATGACCTGGGGAAAAATCATTATACTTTAATTATTTGTTTATATTCTATATGCCCTGCAGATTATCAGTTCCCTGAGGGAAGAATCCAAGTCCTATTTACCTTTAATTCCCAACACCTATCATTACCAGTCCTGGAACATGGTCAGTACTTATATGTATGAGGAGTTCAAAAACAGAAAAAATTAAACTTTAATAATAGAAATCAGAAAGTAGTTGCTCCAGGATTCAGAAGGGAGAAAGAATTGATTAAAGGGGCACAATAACACTGTTAAAGTTTACAACATATCAAATGTGTCCTTTTTCCCCAAAGCTATAAAATTTGTATCTCATTAACCTGAACTGGGCATGGAACAACTCGATTGGTATACAATCCTCTCCTGGACCTGGAGTCAATGGAATCACAGAATTTGACTCTAGAGGAAGGGTGGAATGAATAATGAAGAGACAATCACAATACATGCTCACCTCCTAACTAGCCAAATCATCCTAATGATTAAATGAAGTAACAGAGATACGTTCGTGAGCTTACTCCTTTCTGCCCTCAGATGCTGCAAGGATACATCGTTAGTCTCCCACTGTCATCATATCTAAGTCAAAGTCTCCTGAAGAGCCCAAATAGCTGCAGAAGTTCTTTCTCAGAAGGTGGAGCTTTGAAACAACTGATGAGAGTCTGAGGAGCCATTTTGAGCAATGGGGAACACTCACAGACTCTGTGGTAATGAGAGATCCAAACACTGAGCGCTCCAAGGGCTTCGGGTTTGTCATATATGCCACTGTGGAGGAGGTGGATGCAGCAATGAATGCAAGACCACACAAGGTGGATGGAAGAGTTGTGGAACCAAAGAGAGCTGTTTCTGGAGAAGATTCTCAAAGACCAGGTGCCCACTTAACCGTGAAAAAGATCTTTGTTGCTGGCATTAAAGAAGATACTAAAGAACGTCACCTAAGAGACTATTTTGAACAGTATGGGAAAACTGAAGTGATTCAAATCATGACTGACTGAGGCAGTGACAAGAAGAGGGGCTTTCCTTTTGTAACCTTTGATGACCACGATTCTGTCAATAAGACTGTTATTCAGAAATAGCATACTGTGATTAGCCACAACTGTGAAGTAAGAAAAGCCCTGTCAAAGCAAGAGATGGCTAGTGTTTCCTCCAGCCAAAGAGAACAAAGTGGTTCTGGAAACTTTGATGGTGGATGTGGAGGCAACTTCAGTGGTCACTGTAGCTTTGGTGGCAGCCATGGTGGTGGTGGACATGGTGGCAGTAGGGATGGCTACAATGGATTTGGTAATGATGGAAGCAATTTTGGAGGTGGTAGAAGCTACGATGATTTTGGCAATTACAACAATCTTCAAATTTGGACTCATGAAGACAGGAAACTTTGGAGGCAGAAACTCTGGCCCCTACGGTGATGGAGGCCAATACTTTGCCAAACCACGAAACCAAGGTGGCTATTGTGGTTCTAGTAGCAACAGTAGCTATAGCAGTGGCAGGAAGTTTTTATTACTCTCAAGAAACAAAGCTTAGCAGGAGAGGGGAGCCAGAGAAGTGACAGGGAAGCTTTAAATTACAACCGATTTGTGAACTCAACCAACCACAGCGGTTACAGGACCTAGCTGCTACCAAAGACAATGTTTTAGACAATTCTCAGGTGTATGGGCAAGACACTTGAGGACCGTATCTGTGACTAACTGTGTAACAGGTTATTTTAGTTTCTGTTCTGTGGAAAGTGTAGAGCATTTCCACAAAGGAATGTACATTTTTTCTTTTTTGTACCCACGCTGTTGATTGCTAAATGTAACAGTCTGATCATGATGTTGAATAATGTCTTTTTAAAAAGTAAATAAATAAATGAAGTAACAGATATCACAGTAAGATGATTCTCATGTCCAGAAATGATATAAATATGAGAAATTATATTAGATATTGGCAGGATTACATTGGCTTTTACAAATAATCTAAATTAGAGATGTACAGCTCTTTCCCGAAAAACTCTTCGTAAAATAAATTTCTGAAAGGCAATCATATTTTCCAACAACTTCCATTATAATTTCAAAGAGTGACAGAAATGCTCCAAGTAAACTAAACAATCTGTTGACAAAATCAGGACTCTTAGCACATAATAGGAAAACACATACTACAAAAGAATATAGAGCCTGGCAACTATAACTCATGTATGCAAATAAGAACTATACACAAGACCCTGAGCAAGTCATGCCCCTTCAAATCCCCATTGGTTTCCTCAACTAAAAATAATTAATTAATAATAGAAGAAAATAAAAATAATAGATGAGTGAATGAATGTCTCTTCACTAAGGACCTAGTTCAGGTATTTTTCTAATGCCTGGTGAGCAGCAAGGACACCCAATCCATCAGACATAGGAGAATATCCAGTATAGTCACCTATAATCTGATACAAACACTCCTAAAATTTTATAGGTTAGCAAATGAAGGAATACTGTTCCTCTAAATAAAATATATATCATATCAGATTATAAAATGAGGTCTTTACAGTTTAGGTCTTCACCTAGTTAGGTTGCCAGTCCCAATTTTTATAAAATCTCACAATTATTTAACATACACATAAGATTATCTGAGGTCTGATTTGTACTATGAGAACTTCACAGAGTGGTTTTCCCACAAGTAGAAAATTAGTACACATTTACACGATAATGAAACCTCATCTAAATACTTTTACAGGTCAAACCAACCTCCTAATATCTAACAACACTATAAAATAAAAGCAAGATGTGACAAAATATTTAGACTATTAATGCTTTTCCCAATGGTCACCTGTTTTTGTTTTGTTTTGTTTTGTTTTTTTTGATGCCCAAACAGGAACTTGAACCCTGGGCCCTCAGTTAAAAAGCTCTAATGCATATACAATGTGAAAAGAACTGGGACAGAGAAATCTGTGCAAATACACACATACAGTGAAATTGCATACAGACCTTTTTTCAGCCGGGGCTTTTGAAGTTCAGCAGATGCAGGAAATGGAGTTCCCTGAAATGAAAGAAGTTGTCTATATTAAAGCACCATAATATACCTTGTTAACTTGAAGCATTCAAATAATAAAAATAACCAGTAGCTCATCAATCATGCAATTAATCCATTAAATGAATATTAGAACAAAGAATTATTCTGAATATGGCTTAAAACCACATGCCAAGTCATACTTATGCTATCCAAACTATTAACACATACTTATGATGTGCATTATAATGTACAAATAATTATAATGTATAGTAAAATGTGCACAAATAAATGTATTAAGCTCTTAGACACTTCATATTAGTATTATACTTAATGCTGTATCTCTCAGCAGCCAAACCAAAAATGTGATGACTATTTGATAAAAAGAAGCTTTTGAGGTCATCTATACAGAAATTGTCTGGCACTCAATTCTAAGAGGGAGATGGTGTCCAGGTGCGGTGGCTCACGCCTGTAATCCTAGCACTCTGGGAGGCCAAGGCGGGCGGATCACTCAAGGTCAGGAGTTTGAAATCAGCCTGAGCAAGAGCAAGACCCTGTCTCTACTAAAAATAAATAGAAAGAAATTAATTGGCCAACTAAAAATATGTAGAAAAATGTAGCCGGGCATGGTGATGCATCCCTGCAGTCCCAGCTACTTGGAAGACTGAGGCAGTAGGATTGATTGAGCCCAGGAGTTTGAGGTTGCTATGAGCTAGGCTGATGCCACGGCACTCTAGCCCAGGCAACACAGTGAGACTCTGTCTCAAATAAATAAATAAATAAGAGGGAGATGGCATATTATTTTACACTATAACTTTGTAAAAAACTTTCAAATGAATTTTTCCTAGATCGATCTCCTATGTTATATATGATGTGCTAGGAGACAAGCAAAAATAATGGCTGAAAATTTTCTAGAAGAAAACACTAACGATTAGAGACATTCTGAATATACAACAAATCCTGACCAGGTTAAATGAAAATAAATATACACTTAGATACATCATAGGGAACTGCAAGAGAAACAATAAGAAGTTTTTAAAAGCAGCCAAAGGAAAAAAATCACCATTGAAAAAAGGACAATTAGACTCTGACAGCTGACTCCTCCACAATTAAAAATGTAAGAGAATTAATATCACATTAAGACATCACAAGAATTACTCCAAGTGTCAATACTAAATAAAATGTCAAATCCAGCCTGTTTTTATATGGTCCACAAGAATGATTTTTACATTTTTAAATGGCTGAAAAAAAATTTAAATAATATTTTTAACCCATGGAAATCATGAGTCAAACTTTGGTGTCTATAAAAACAATTTATCAGAACATAGCCGCATTCATATGTTGATACATTGTCTATGGCTGCTTCTGCACTACAATGGCATAGTGAGGTAGCTGTAACAGAGACTGTATGGTCCACAAAGCCCAAAATATTTACTATCTGGCCCTTTACAAAAAAAAATACCACCAAACCCTGATCTAGATTTCTCACACCCATCAAAACCAACTTTCAACAACAAAGGCAAGAGTGGGACCCCATCTCTACTAAAATACAGAAAGAAATTAGCTGGATAACTTTAATATAAAAAAAATTTAAAGATGCAAAAATAGTTATTAAAAATTAATGTAATGAAATTTATATTTAAGTCCATGTAATCGCTCCTGAACAAAATGAAATATAAAAAATTAAAAATAAAAATTAATGTAAAAATTTATATTAAGAATAAAAATATGATTACTGCCATGAAAAAAAAAAAAAACAAAAACAAAGGCAAATTAAAAGACTTTTCGAATTTAAGAGCTTTTAGATTTTCACTAAATAAACTTTTAATGGTTGTACATTAGGACAGTGGTCCCCAACCTTTTTGGCACCAGGGACTGGTCTCATGGAAGAAAATTTTTCCACGGACTGGAGGGGAGAGGGGGTGGGGAAATGGTTTCAGGATGATTCAAGCGCATTACATTTACTGTGCACTTTATTTCCATTATGATTACATTGTAATGTATAATGAAATAATGATACAATTCACCATAATGCAGAATCAGTGGGGGCTGATTTGTTTTCCTGAGCTTGTTTTCCTGCAACTAGATGGTTCCATCTAGGGGTGATGGGAGACAGTGACACCAAAGTGTGTTGCTTATGTCCAGTCTACTCCATAATCTCTCCTTTTATAATTTATTTTCCACCATTAACAAGTGACTGTCTCCATATGGTCTCCTTTTGGTTGCTGTCACTGCAGAAAACCCTGCTTCACAGAGATAGGATGTTGGAAATGGAAGCAGGAAACAGGCTTTTCAGTGCTTCTTTGTCAATCTCAGGATATCCCCACCTTGACTTTAATCCAGAACATATGGAGATTTGAGTTGTCTCTAACATACTTTTAAGACCACCGTCATTTACAATCTCAAGCAGTTGATCCTCTTCTAGCACAAAGTCAATTCTGGCTTATTCACAAATGGCTGGCAGATCCATTCCTTCTCAATTCAGGGGTCTTTGTGGCTGGGAAGTAATGCTCAAATTCTTTTGAAAGCTGAGATAGGTGATCATGCACCAGCTGGGAGAAAGAAGGTCCTGGCTAAATCTCTTTCAAAATCTCTGCTAAGGTTTGAAACATGTCAAAAATCCTAATATTCACTCATCGCCCCCATAATTCCAGTGTGGCTTTGAATGCAGCCACTTTATCTGCTGACTTGAACACAGCTGTTGTTCTCCCCTGAAGTGACTGATCGAATTTGTTGAATAGGTTGAATATGTCACACAAGGGAGCAAGCTCTGAGAACCATTTGGGTCACTGATATGTGCTGCTAGTGGTGACTGTTTTCCTGAAAGAAGTCTCTGGAGCGGCTCTCATGATGCAAAATCTCCAGCCAGTAATCCACCTTTAGAGAGCCAGCTCACTTCTGTGTATAAGAGAAGATGTGTATGCTCTGCGTCCATCCTGTCACAGAGCTATGCAAACACACATGAGTTAAGGGCATGTACTTTAATGTGGTTGATCATTTTAATCACATCCTACAAAATGTTGTTTAGTTCAGGTGACATTTTTCGGCTAGCCAGCATTTCTCTATGGAGACACAGTATGTAGACTTGCATTCAGAAGTGACCTCCTTGACCTGAGTAGTGAAGCCAGAAAGCTGTCCAATCATGGCAGCCACTCCATCCATGCATACACCAACACAAAATGACCAATTCAGTTGTCCTGATACGTAATCATTCAATGACTTGAATGCTTCTGCAGCTGTAGTGTTGGTTGGCAACAAAAGTGCATATATCCTTATGCACATCCTCCTGAAAAATATATCACACAAAAACAAGCATTGTTGCTTTGCTATCAACATCAGTAGACTCGTCAACCTGGATTGCATACCACAGTGACTCATTAATCCTCTCAAACAATTATGCCTCAATATTCTCTGCTATTTCATCAATTCATCTAGTTATGGTGCTAGCTGAAAGAGGAACACGTGCCATCTTTGGAACTGCAGCCTCTCTTAAACGTTCACAACAAATATCCTCAGCAGCAGGCAGGATCAACTCTTCCCCAATAGCAGAGGGCTTCTTAGCTTTAGCAATGCGGTTAGCCAGAAAGAATGATGGTCTCAGTGCAGACACATTTGATGAAGTGGTGGCCTTCAATAACTGCTTCCCTTCTTTGTGTGCATGTTTTTTCCTTTTGAAAAATTTTAGGGGCAGGGTATAAGGGCAACATACGTAACCTAAACATTTGTACCTCCATAATATGCTGAAATAAAAAAAGAAAGAAAAGTTCCAAAGGCTTGTCTTTTAATGCAGGGTGCTTGGTCTCCATATGGCAAAGCAGATTTGAACGTTTCATGGCTTCCCTGGATAGCCAGTCGCCACGTATTATACAAAGCGGGCTTAGAGAATGTGTATCGCTTGTTGCAATGAACCAGTAATTTAAGTAAGACTCTTAGTATTTTCTTTTAAATGCAGCTTTCATTTTGTTGGCAGTCTTAGAGTATTCTGTCTCATCATTGGGTCTTCCCCTCTTTTCAAAGAAGCTCTCCAGTGGCATTTGTTTTTTACTCATTTTTGCTAAGGTTAGCTTGTGGGCTTCCCAAAGCTGTGACTGAGACAAGTGCAAGAAAGAGGCATAGATGGAAAGGGTAAAAAATGGGTGTGCCATTCGCGTACTAAAATAAGTGTCAGATTCCGATGTAAAGCCTGCCACCAGATGTAGCTTAATTGTCACATGCCACTCACTGAGAGGGTTTTGATATGAGTCTGCAAGCAACTGATTTATTATGGTCTCTGTCTCTATACAGCCAAACCTCTCTGCTAACAATAATCTGTATTTGAAGCCGTTCCCCAGCACTAACATCACCGCCTCAGCTCCACCTCAGATTATCAGGCCTTAGATTTTCATAAGGAATGTGCAACCTAGATCCCTGGCAAGCACAGTTTACATACAGTTCACACTCTTATGAGAATTGAATACCTCCCCTGATCTGATAGGAGGTAGAGCTCAGGTGGTGATGCCAGCAATGGAGAGGTTGTAAATACAGATGAAGCTTTGCTTCCTCATCCTCTACTCACTTCCTGCTATGTGGCCCGGTTCCTAACAGGCCATGGACCAGGCCCAGGGGTTGGGGACCGCAGCATTAGGAAACAGAAAAATAATCCTAGGGCTAGGTGAAGTGGCTCATGCCTGTACCCCTAGCACTCTGGGAGGCCAACGCAGGAGGATCGCTTGAGGTCAGGAGTTCTGAGATCAGCCTGAGCAAGAGCAAGACCAGATCTCTACAAAAAACAGAAAAATTAGCTGGGTATGGTGGTGTGTGCCTATAGTCCCAGCTATTAGGGAGGCTAAGGCAGAAGGACAGCTAGAGCCCAGGAGTTTGAGGTTATAGTGAGCTATGATGATGCCACTGCACTCTAGCCCAGGCAACAGAGCAAGACCCTGTCACAAAAAAAAAAAAAAAAAAAAGAAAAGAAAAGAAAAGAGAAACAGTAAAGTAGAAAAATAAGCAAAACATATGAACCAAGAACTGTACAGAAAAGGAAAGGGGACAATCAATGATGCTCTAACTCAGGCGTCCTCAAACTACAGCCCGAGGGCCACATGCAGGTGTTTTTGCCAGTTTGTTTTTTACTTCAAAATCAGATATGTGCAGTGTGCATAGGAATCTGTTCATAGTTTTTTTTAAAACCATAGTCCGGCCCTCCAATGGTCTGAGGGACAGTGAACTGGCCCCCTGTTTAAAAAGTTTGAGGACCCCTGCTCTAACTCATTAATAATTAAGGCAATGTAAGTTAATATCACATTAAGACAATTTCATATCTACCCTATTGACCAGTATAAAAGCATAAATGGTTACAACCACCTTAGAGTTTCCCATAAGTAATAAAGTTACCCCACAACTCAGACCATTTCTAGCTACACCCTAGAGAAACTCCTAGATCTTACATCAGGAGACATATATAAGAATGTTCACAGCCAGGGCTAGGACTAAAGTGAGGCAAGTGAGATACCTGGGATACAACTTTAAGGGGGCATTCCCACTTCTTACTCCTTAAAGTTTGTACCCTAAGCATCTCACTTGCCTTACCCTAGTCCTGGCTCTGTTTATAGCAGCATTGTTTTCAACAATTAAAAATCAGAAGTATCTGAAATCTCCATCTACTAGAATGGAGAACTGTAGTATTTTCTACAATGGGATACTATACAGCATTGAGAAAAATGCAGTAAGGGAGAGGCATTTAGGTTTCAGTTATTGTTAATGACCCATTTCTTAATCTGTGTTGTAGGAACACAAGTTTCCACTATTACTATTCTCTTAAGCATACATGTAATATTTTATCCACTCTTAGAAGTAGGATCTATTTCATAACAAAATGTTAATCTTCCAAATAAGAATGTATAATTTGTTCTTTCAGCTATTTTATGATCTTTTTAATTTTTTTTATTTCAGTATATTACGGGGGTACAAATGTTTAGGTTATGTATACTGCCCTTGCCCTATCCAAGTCAGAGCCTCAAGCGTGTCCATCCCCCAGATAATGCGCACTGCAGCCATTACGTGCATATGCCCATTCCCTCCTTCCCCCTCCCATCTGCCCGACATCTGATGAATGTTACTACTATATGTTCACTTAAGTGTTGATCAGTTAATACCAAGTTGATGGTGAGTACATGTGGTACTTGTTTTTCCATTCTTGAGATACTTCACTTAGTAGAATAGGTTCTAGCTCTATCCAGGATAATACCAGAGGTGCTATATCACCATTATTTTTTGTGGCTGAGTAGAACTCCATGGTATACATATACCCCATTTTATTAATCCACTCATGTATTGATGGACACTTGGGTTGTTTCCACATCTTTGCAATTGTGAATTGTGCTGCTATAAACATTCTAGTGCAGATGTCTTTTTTATAAAATGTCTTTTGTTCTTTGGGGTAGATGCTCAGTAATGGGATTGCTGGATCAAATGGCAGTTCTACTTGTATCTCTTTGCGGTATCTTCATATTGCTTTCCACAGAGGCTGTACTAGTTTGCAGTCTCACCAGCAGTGTATGAGTGTTCCTATCTTTCCGTAACCATGCCAACATTTATTGTTTTGGGACTTTTTGATAAAGGCCATTCTCACTGGGGATAAGTGATATCTCACTGTGGTTTTGATTTGCATTTCTCTGATGATAAGAGACATTGAGCATTTCTTCATATGTTTGTTAGCCATTAGTCTATCTTCTTTTGAAAAGTTTCTATTCATAGAGCATAAGACTCTTATTTTATGATCTTGATTTTAAAACACACAAGATTTATAGAGACACTCTCCCAAAGAGATATACATGGAAAACAATCACATTAAAAAGATCCTCAATATCATTATTCATTAGGGAAATACAAATTAAAACCACAATATACCACTACTACACAACCACTAGAATGGCTAAAATCAAAAAGACTGACAATTACCAAGTGTTGACAAAAATGTGGAAAAACTGTAACTCTCATACACTACTCAAGGAAATGTAAAAGAGTACACAGCCACTTTAGAAAAGTTTGGCAGGTTTATGCTTTTTTGTTTTTTGTTTTTTTAACACTTACCATACAACCCAGAAATTCCACTGACACAGGAAATATTTTGGAGTTTTAGAACATGTAGACATGTGTCTGGTGTCTGGTGGTGACAGCTGTGCAACTACATAAATTTACCGAAATTGATCAACTGTACATTAAAATGGCTAAAATTTTTTTTTAATTTAGGAATACCTTTTTTTAAATTTGTTAATCTACTTTTGTTTGTATTTTTGACACATAATTGTATGTATTTATGGGGTACATAGTGATGCTATGATACATATAGTGTGCAGTGATCAAATCAGGGTAATTAGTATATCTATCTTCTTGAATATTTATCATTCCTTTGCATTAGGAACATTCAATATCCTCCTTCTTGCTATTTGAAACTATATATTATTGTTAACTATAGTCATTCTACACTGTTATAGAATACTATAATTTATTCCTTCTCTCTAGCTGTAATTTTGTATCTTTTAACAAATCTCTCTCTATCCCCATTTCCCCCTACCCTTCCCAGCCTCTAATATCTTCTGTTTTACTTTTTATTTTTAGGAGATCAAGTTTAAAATGAGTAAATTTTATGGTCTGTATATTATACCTCAACAAAACTGTTTTTAAAATATTAAAGAACTCTAGTGTTCTTTGATCTCAATTTTTTAACTTTGGGGACCATATTATTAAGTAAAGAATCTTAAAGTCTCAAAAAGCACATTCATTAGTCAGCAACCCTTCATTCTGTACAAAGAATTAAACTAAATCTTTTTTTGATAAGTCTTTTTCTCAAGTCTTTCCAGAACATTCTGAGATTGAAATGATTCTAATAGCCCAATCTCATTCACAGCTAGATGTATATAGAATAAATTCTTTTTTGTTGTTTTTTCATTTTTATATAGTCATATGATCATTTATTCATTTCCTGGAGGGATGGACATGCTAGAAGCTCTGACTTGGGTGGGCAAGGGCAATATACATAACCTAAACATTTGTACCCCCATAATATGCTGAAATTTAAAAAATTAAGATCACACAATATACCCCACTCCACATCTGTCTTTAATATAAATATACACCGTGGAAATCTTTCCAAGTCAACATACATAGTCGTAACATTCTTTTTAAGGGCTGTATAATATTCCATAGTATGGAAATATCAGAAGTCATCTATTATCCTATTAATGAGCATTCAGTTTCCAGTTTTTTGCCACTACAAACAGTACTACAATGAATATCCTGATACTATATGCTTATGTTTCACTTTCATTTTATGGGACACAGGTCTAGGAGATTGCTGAGTTACAAGATCATTTCCCAAAAGGACAGAAATTCAAATTTCCATGCATTGGTAACTTGAAAAGATAAAATTACTATAAATATAACATTGTTAGCAATAAACTGGACAATGAAAATAGTTAATGTCAGGCTTAAGTACTAAAGTCATGTCAGAACAAAAGCTATTCTCTTTAAAACACTATTAAAGATTCAAATATATGGGACAATTCTGTCACTACAGAATCAAGTTCATCATCTGTTACACCTCTCTATATCTGCAATGAGCACTAGAGGATAAATTCTATTTGTAGCAATGTCATGTTACCCTTTATATCCTACATTTAAGATTACGTAGGTGAAGTATTTTCTCTATGTTTTCAGTATCTAAAACCTACTAACATAAATCACGGTATCTATCAATTTATTTATTTAAGACAGGGTCTTGCTCTGTTGCCTGTACAGTGAGTGGTGTTATCATAGCTCACAGCAACCTCAAACTCCCAGCTCCAGGGATCCTCCTGCCTCAGCCTCCAGAGTAGCTGAGACTACAGGCATGCACCACTACATCCCGCTAATTTTTTTTCTTTTTGTAGAGACAGGGTTTCACTAGGTTGCTCGGGCTGGACACTTTTAATTTTTAATTTTTAGCTTAATAAAACATCTTTACTTTGGACTCCCTCTGTATTCAGAATTTTCTGATTACAGTAAAATAATGCGATTACTCTACAAATGAAAGGAAATTAGAAAACAAACAAACAAACAAACGTATGCCAATAACACTGGCCTTGCTCCTTAGCCAAAACTAAGCTGCCAAAAGCTAACAGCCAAAAGCTGCTACTTTATAGTCTATGTTTTCCAGGGCGTTTTTCAAATGACAGTAAATTCCAAATAACTAAAATCATTCTAACAAATGGGCAGGATTGTTTTCAAACCCCATACTAAAAACAAAGTTTCACACTTGGGACTTGAGATCCAATTATGGACATATGCCTCAAAAACTAACTAGCACTGGGTCATCCTGAGTCCATCAGGACTACTCTGTAGTCCAGAGCTATAGCAGCAGCTGTGTGGAGTCAAAACACTTAACAGACATCAGCTGAACCGCAAGGCAGCACTTTCCCAAACTTAATCACAACACAGAAAACAGTCCCGCCCCGCTGGCAGAAGGCAGTGACGCAAAAAGCTTCCAGGCTTTGTCATATTAAAATCCTAATCCACAGGATTATCAGAAGCTGTCTCCACAGGGAGAATGGTAGTGCTTCCCTTTCCCTACCCCGAGAGAAAGCAGAGACGGGACTAAGAAAAGAGCCATTTCTGGTGAAACGGTCCCTCTCCACAGCGCACCCCAGAGGGACCGACGTCCGGGCACGGGCCGTGCCGCACGGGATTCGGGCTCGACCTGGGCGAAAAGTGCCCAGAGGAGCGCGAGTGGGACCCTGCCGCCGCGCCCACCGCAAGCCGCCCGGGACCAGCTCCGCCTCTGCCCGGGAGCGGCTGCGTGGGACAGAGGCCTAGCCGTCTTCCCCTGCCCTGGCCTGCCCTGCCCTGCCCGGCGGCCGGGACGCTGAACAAAATCTCGGCGCTCACCGTCGCGAGTCTCTCCTCAGCCATGCTTGCTCCCCCCACCGCGGCGCCGCCCGCGGTCAGCGGTTTCCCGGACGACGAGGCAAACGGAAGTCGCAGGACCGCGGGGAGCGGGGAGGAGCCTAATCAGGGAAGGAAGTAGATAGCCGAGCGGGGCCGAGCGGCTTCGGGAGGTAGGGAGCGCTGGCGTCCGCCCGTCGACGGCTCGGCCCGGAGAGTCGGTGAGGGGACGCGCAGCCTGCCGTGTCCTCTATCCCGGAAACCTGCTGCCGGCCCGCGCCGTGGTGGTGCGCCGCCGGAAACCTCCGGGCGCTCTGGCTGGTTGGCCCGTCCCATTGGGAGGGCTGTGTCGCCCTCCAGCCACCTTGCGCTACCCCGCTCTGGCGCCGAGCTGCGTTTAATTCAATCCTCCTTCAGGGAGTCTCGGCCCCGAGGCCAAACCCTGGGGCGGAGAATCTGTCTCGCCTCACGTCCACCCCCGCCCCGGTTCTTGGCTGTCACCATCCCACGAAGGTGCTCGCCTCATCCGCCGCCCAGTCTTGTTTACACCAGAGTGTGCAGACCCGCTGCTGGAGCCCTGCATTTGAGCCACACTCTTTTGATTGGAAATATTTAAAAATTAGGAGGTTTCACAAGAAAGCTGGCCTCGGAATAAAGAGCTAACAGTGGGCCTAGAGGGAAGCAAATTAGAGCTGAATAGTGGCTGCGACTGTTAGATAAACATTTCATCGTCTTTTTGCCACAGTCCTCACTTCCCAACGTACTTCAGGCGGTTTTCATTACCTATGTGTGCCCAGGCGCGATGAATTAAATGCTTAGTCTTTCTACTGGAAAAACGTGTGGGCTTGACCACGGCCTGATCTTAGCCGGTCATGTCTTTGAGGCTCGTTCTAGTGCCTAGAACTATGTGATGGACGAAACATACGAGATCCCTGCACCCCCAGGATCAACCTCTGAACGTGTAGCAAGTTAGTCAGACATTAAACAATAAGTAAGCAAAGTTTATGAAGAAACAGTTTACCAAATACAAATGGCTCTTAAACATACGAAAATATAACGTTGCAAGGAAGAAAAAACATGCAAATTTAAGTTTCCAAGAGATGCTTTCCATCTCTTACATTGGCAAAGAACAAAAATTTTCACCGACATGGTTGTGAGAAATGTGAATTGGTAAAACCTCCATTGAGACATGTTTGGCAATAACTACCAAAATTTAATATGCACATAACCTTTAACTGAATTATTTCAATTCTAGAAATTTATTCTATAGGTATAGCTATGGGAAATGACTTTATATACACGAGTATTCAATGCAGCATTGTTTGTAATAACCAAAGCCTGAAAACAACCTAAATGCCAAACAACAGAAATTAAATTATGGTAAGTCCATTCTATATGGTACATGAAAAACAGGCAACTATTTACATATTAATATAGAAGAATTGCTAAGATACGTTATTAGAGATAAAAATGAAGTGCAGAAAAATGCATATAGTGTTTGTTAATAAAAGAGAAGGCAAATATAAAGAGGAATATTATGTACATGATTGCTTGTATGCTCAGAAAATATTTCCGGAAGGATATTCAAAATACTAAAAGTGGTTACTTTTAAGGAGAACTGGGTAGCAGGGGGACAGGGAAGAGAAAACAACTTTTACTCTATAAGTTTTGTACAATTTGAGTTTGTATTATGTATCACCTGTTCTAATAATAGAGAAAAATAAAAGCAAATGAAAAGTACAACGTAACTATGTCATTAGAATTGTGGTAAATGCTAAGGAGAAATATAGAATAGTAAGAACAAGTAACAGGGGGATTCAATTTAGACTGGTTTGCACAGGGAAGTTTTTCTTGGGTAAAAGATGTTTAAAATGAGACCTAAAGGATAAGGCATTAGCTTGGGGAAAGGAGACAAGGAAGTGTGCAGGCCAGCAGAAAATTCTAAGGCAAAGGAAGAACTTGTGCAAAGGCCCTGAGGATGGAAGAAGGTTGCCCATTTGGAGCACAGGAAGTAGACCAGTGTGGCTGGAAAAGAAAAACAGGGAAAGGGGTTGGTTGCAATAGGTTAAGAGGTAAGAGAGAGTAGTGGTGCAGATCCACAAAGGCCATATGAGGGATTTTATTGTAAGGGCATTGGGTAGGCACTAGAGTTTTGAGCAAGGAATGGCATAGTCAGAACAAACATTTAAAGAGTTCAGGGTAGCTGATGAGTACAGAATGAATTGGGAGGGTGACAAGAATTGATAATCTATGGGAGACTAAAGGCTACTGCAAACAAGAGATGATGAACCAGCTCACTTGGACTGGCAAAAGAAGTAAAGAAAAAGTAAATGGATTCTCAAGAAATTTAGGCAGCAGAACAAACCGATAGTGCAGAACTGGAGGTGAGGGAATGAGGGAAAACAAGATAGATGTCAAAGGAAGATTAACAGGTTTATAACTTTAAAAGATGCTGGATGAATGGTACAGCCAACTACTGAGTTTGAAGCCTTAGAGAAGATGTTTGTAGAAAACTCATGAGCCTGTTTCCCAACATACAAACTCTCCCTGACAGGGGTGCTGTGAGAAAAGTAAATGACTCCTCTTTATTCAATAAGTAGAAGCCATTATTATGATATGTTTTAAAATCTCTCTTTTGACCCCAGATCTTGGGAGGAAGATAGAGTGCTTTCTGTGCATTTTTAATACGGGTGTTTTTCAATAAGAAAGCACACTAATTTCTCAAATTGCAATCACCAAATTTAATATGCTTTAATTAGATAAGTATTAAAAAATTACTACTTTCTTTTAAAAGCTCCTTTTTAAAATGTAGTATCTTCACAGGAAAATCCCAGAAATCACATAGAGCATGATCACTCAAATCATATAGCTGCACTGGGCATTCCAAACAAAGTGGCATTTATCTATTAATATTTTTATGGTAGCGGCTGAGGAGGCAGAAGAGGAATCAGGCATCAGTAAGTTTTTTGTTGTTGTTGGTTTTGGGATTTTTTTTTTTTTAAGAGACCGGGTCTTGCTCTATCACCCAGGCTAGAGTGAAGTGGCACAATGATAGCTCACTGCAGTCTTGAACTCCTGGGCTCAGAAGATCCTCCTGCCTCAGCCTCCCAAGTAGCTGGGACTACAGGCATGTGCCATAATACCTGGCTTACTTACGTACATGTGTACTTACTTATTTCCATAGAAACAGAAAATGAAAATGTTGCCTAGGCCGGTCTCAAACTCCTGGCCTCAAGCAATCCTTGTCCCTTAGCCTCCAAAGTGCTGAGATTACAGGCATGAGCCACCATGCCCAGCCCCAGTAACTTTTTAAAACCCCCAATATATGTATAAAGAAGGAGCTACAATCGAGTTGCTACATTTTTAGTATTTTAATACATCATTACTACTCTGTTAAGGGTCCACAGCCAGCTTTGTTCTGATGTCTCCTGCTGGGCAAGGCTCCAGCACCTTATGCCTTTTTTCAAATGTCTGGTCCTCCCAAAACCCATACCACAAACTTCTGAGAACTAAGTCAACACTTTGGGAAACCACTTCAAAATAATATGAATCTCCAGGGGACTTCATGAAACATTGTAAATATGCCCATCTCCGAAAGTACTAATACACTCAAGAGGAATCAATGGTGAATATGGGTAAAAGCATATATATGATACTGTTCATCAGAAAAAATACTGGAAATATCCAAATGTCTATCACCTGTAGCTTTCTAAATAAACCACAGTACAGCCATACTAAGGCATATTATGCAGCCTCTAAAAGTCCTCAAGATGATAAAATAGTTATATGAAAAAATTAAAGAATAGAAAATGTAGTATGCTTCCATTTATGTTTAAGAAAAGAGTGGGGAGAGACCTTTATACATTTTATAAATACAAATACTGATTTGTATTTGTCTTCTGTGGATGGAGTAGAGGGACTAGGTGACTTAAAATGGGAAGGTGTTGATTTTCATTATTTATGATTCTATAAAATTTAACTTTTTATTATCCATGTATTTTTAATTTTAAAAACCAGTTAATAAAATATGTAAATAAAACAAATTTTTAAACTTCCATTCCTAGAATCCATTACTGATTTGTATGTACTAATATTATAGAAAGTCATAAGAGAATATATAACTCTCACCCTATCAAACAACAAAAAAGGGCCAGATTAGCTAGAAAATAAAAAATATTTTTAACTCATGAGAAAGCTGAGCACACAAAGAAACCTAAATGAACCAAACTCCAGAAAGTGCCAACTCCTTTGTAGGAGAGAAGAAACCCATGTGTGCTCATATGCCTAGTTGAACTACGCTTAAAAGAAGAATTCACCATTGGGACTATAAAGAGAAACCTGCTGAAATTTAACAAAATTTTAACAGCCCCACAAAAGCTGGCTGGATGTTAGAATCTGAAGGACCCAAATCCACAGAAGCTTGCACCCACCCATTAGTCTTACCTCTTGGTTCTTAACCAAGCCCAAGGAGGTACCACATCAAAAGTGGGAGATGGGTGGATAATAGAAGGTATGCTGAGAGAGATTCCCTACCTCGAGGTAAGTGGATCCTCTCTCAAGAGCAAGATACCCTTTAAAAGCGAAGGGGCAAAGCAGGAGAGCTGAGAAATCCATCAGATGCACTCTTGAAGGCTAAGAGGAGGGAAGTAGAGCTGAGAAACCCATCCCCCCAGACATTGTGGACATGCTTCTACAAAAACACTAAGTGCAGGGCACATATGAGAGCTGAAAAAAATATCCTCCTGTCCCTGATCCCACTGACCAAAGGGGGGAAAAAAAATCCTAGCAGCCAACCTGTAAAGCAAAAAAAGATCTCCCACAGTTCCAAAAGCTGGTGGCTTAGCTATAAAGCAAAGTCATATCTCTGGAATCTTGCTAATGCCCCAAACTCTGGCCCTGCTGAAATCAAAGTTCTGATTCTACCTTCACTCAAAATATTTGAAGCTAGTGGCAAACTAAATCAAACTAAAGCTGCAATAAAGCTCAGATCTAGATCAAATATACATAAGATTGACTGAGCCACTACTCAAGTAGCCTGAAAAAAAATGGCCATGCCCCATTTTGGAGGCAAATCATATTTACTTCAATCTCTCTTGTTTTTATATATATACAAAATGTCTATCATACAAATATACAAGACATGTGCAAAAGCAAGAAAATGAGATCCATGGTAAGAGAGAGTAAGGGTTCAACGGAAGCAGAACTAGAGAAGACCCAGATGTTAAATTATCAGTTGGGCTCCTTAAAATAAGATCAAAATGCTAAAAAACATCTAGAGGAGGCCAAAATACTGGAATCAACAGACAGGGTTTTTGAAATAATAATTATGAAAAAGCTAAAAGTATGGTGGAAAATATGGATAACATTCCATGAATAGGAAATTTTAGCAGAAAATGGTAACTAAACAAGCATAATGAAATGCTAGAAATGAAAATATCAGAAATGAAGAATTCATTAAATGAGCTTAACAGGTTAGCATTGGAAAGCATCAAAAAACTTAAAGACTGTTAAATGGAAAGTATCCAAACTGAAAACAGAAAGAAAAAAGAGAGCGAAAAGTCTCCTGAAAGCTGTAGGTTAATATCAAATCATCTACTACACGTGTAACTGGAGTGTCGGAAGGAAAGGAAAAGCAAGGGAATATGGGACAAAAAAAATATCTGAAGAGAGAATGGCCAGGAAATATTCACTATTAATGAAAGACAACGAAACAGATCCATGAAGTTCACTAAAACCCATACAAAGAAAAACATAACCTAGACATATCACAGTCAACATGCTAAAAACTAAATATAAGGAGCAGATGCAACCATTAAAAACCTATACATATTATGGATAGGGAAATAAAAATTAAGCTGATGGATGACTTCCCACCAGAAACAAAGGAGACCTCAGTACAATTAAATAACTTCTTTAAAGTGCTGAAAGAAAAAAATAAAAGGTAAACAGAATTCTATATCCAATTAAAATGCCCCTCAAAAATGAAAGTAAAATAAAGATATTCTCTGATAGATAAAAGCTGAGAGAGTTCACCTCTAGAAAAACTGCAAAAGACCGCAAGGAATTTATACCAGAGGGAACCTTAGCTTTGCTGGAAAATATGAAGAGCAATAATAATGAAGTATTATGGGGTTGATAGCTTATATAAGTAAAATATAAAATAACAAGAGAACAGATGTATATTGTAATTTCTAGTGCTGTCCTGTCCAATATAGCAGCCACTAGCCATAAGTGAATATTTAAATCCATTAAAATTAAATAACATTGAAAATTCCATTACACTAGCCACATTCTAGCACTCAATAACCACCTATTACGTACCATATTGCACAACTCAGATATAGAATATTTCTATCATCATAGAAAGTTCTATTGCCTAGTAGCTATTCTAGAAAACCACTAAACATGAACAAATGCACGCACACACAGCGAGAGACACAGAGAGAGACAGAGAGAGTGACAGTAAATCCTTTAGGCTTGGCAGGCTACATATGGTCTCTGCTTCTTTTTCGTCTTCCTCCTCCTCTTCTCCTTCTCCTCCCTCCTTATTTTTACAAACTTTTAAAAATATGAAAAATGATTACCTCAAGTGTTGTACAAAAAACAGCCCATGGGCTGGATCTGGCCCTTGGGTCATAGATTGCCAATCCCTATAATATACCATCTTAACAAAATTAAAAAGAGAAGTATATGATAATCTATTTAGAAGCACAAAAAGTACCTCACAAAATTTAACAACCCTTCCAATAAAAACTCTCAGCAAACTAGGGATAGAAGGGAATTTCCTGAGGCTGGTAAAAGGCATCTATGAAAAAATTACAGTTAACATTATACTTAGTGGTGAGACATTAAAACCTTTACTCCTAAGACTGAGAACAAAGCAAGGATGTCTGATCTCACCACATTTATTAAACATTGTCCTAGATGTTGTAGCCAGTGCAGAAAGGCAAAACAACAAAAATAAAAGCATGAAGATCAGAAAAGAGGTAAAAATGTTATTTGAAGACCACATTGTTGTGATAAAACTGTATGGAATCTACAAGAACTATTTCTAGAACAAATGAATTTAGCAAGGTGGCAGGATTCAAAATCAACATACAAGAATCATCTGGGTGTGGTGGTGCACGCCCATAAGTCCCAGCTCCTTAGGAGGCAGAGGCAGGAGGATCACTTGAGCTCAGGAGTTTGAGACCAGCCTGAGCAACACAGCAAGACCTCATCTCTAAAAAGCAAAACAAAACAAGAAAACAACTGGAAAATGAAATTTTAAAAATCAGAGCCAGGCATGGTGGCTCATGCCTATAATTCTATCACTTTGGGAGGCCAAGATGGGAGGATTGTTTAAGGCCAGGAGTTTGAGACCAGCACGGGCAACACAGGGAGACCCCATCTCTACAAAAAATTTTAAAAATTAGCCAGGTGTGGTGATGTGCATCTGTATTTCCAGCCATTTGTGACGCTGAGGTGGGAGGATCACTTGAGCCCAGGAGTTTGAGGCTGTAGTGAGCTATGGTCATGCCACTGTACTCCAGCCTGAGCAACAGAGTTAGACCCTGTCTCTAAAAAAAATAAATAAATAAATAAATAAAAATCAAATAATACCTAAAGAAGAAATCTAATGATAGATATGCAAGTCCTATGCAAGGGAAGCTATAAAACATCGCTGAGAAAAAATTTAAAAACCTAAATGAATGACAAGATATACTATGTTGATGGATTAACTGACTCAATACTATTGAAATGTTCATTCTTCCTAAACTGACCTCTAGATTCAAAACAACCCCATCAGGATTCCAGCAGCTACTTTTGAAAAAACCAAATAAACTAATTCTAAAATTTTTATCACAATGAAAAGAATCTAGAATAACCAAAGCAATCTCAAAAAAGAACCAAAGTGAAAGATTTACTAATTTCAAGACTTACTAGAAGGCTCCAATAAACCAAAGTGTGGTATTAATGT